TTTGTAAAACAAGTGTGTTCTTCTGTAAGATCTGGCATTGAGTTTTGTTATGATGATTTTCTGTGTGAGGAGGTTCTTTCCCTGTCCAGGGGACTCTAGATAGCTGTTGCAATAAGTTCTCCAGTGTCCAAAGTTTTAGGGCCAAAAGTCTTTGCTTGTCAGGTGGTTCATAATGTGACTTCAGAATTCCCAGAGATAATTTGAAAATAATGTAATGAAATTCTTGCTACAAGTGCTTTTGTTATGACTTTGGCCTGAAACTAACAATATTACTTGTCAGAATACTACTTTGGGGAGATGATCTCATTTCTGGTAGCTGGCAGTTGGAGAACAAACTCTTCTTTCTCAGAGAAGGAAAATACTTTGCTACTCTAATTTTGAAGTCATGATTTACTGCAAACATCATTTTTCAACTTCATCCTCTTAAGTCTCTGAGAGAGTGTGAAATCTCCTCTGCTAGGGTGTACCCTTTGATGCAAGAAGGCCATGATACTCCATTTTGTGTTGACAATTAATATATTTTATTATAAAGATAATATTGGTGGTTTTGACAGTTTAGCTGCAAATTGAGTTCATTACAACGTGGTTGGGAACAGGTTTGAAATACACAATCTGAAGTTGGGGTGATGGGTGGAAGATAGATTAACAGCTGTAGCGCCTCTGTGGGTTTTTTTGTATTGCTATAAAATGGGATTAGAATGTCAGGTGAATGTTCCTTCCCTTCTTACGTATCTCAGTACCTGGCCACAGTTATTAGGGAGTGAATTTTGGCATGGGACTTTACTTATTTCAGATTTAAACACTGTACTACATCAGAAATAACAGTAGTATTTCCCCATAGAAATGTTGCTGATTTGAAGACAAAACTCTTGAAGGCTGTCGTCTCCCTGTGTTCCTTGGCTAGGGAGCTGGGTCTAAGCACTTGGTTTTCATGGAAAGCATCTCATTTATTTGAAAAATCTGGTTTCATTCATTTTAGCAGTGTAACTTGAACATGAGTTGCTTCAGAAATTCTGTGCTACTAAAACATGTTGCTTTGGCTGGGTTTTAATTGCTGGAAATGGAATTGAATAAACTACAGAACACAAGTTGGGTAATGTTGAAAGGCTTCCCTGGGTAGCTTCTCTGTAAGTGGTTGGTGAGGCTGTTCAGTCTAGTTGCTCAGCTTCTTGGGTAGAGAATATTTCAGAAGGCCTACCTAAGGGAGCATCATGCTTTCTTTTTTCCCTTTGACATTTGATAAGAAATAGCACGGTTCTTAGTTGGATGGTGTTTGGAAGTCACTGTGGTTAGTCTCCAGTCCTGCAAGCAGCTGTATGAAACCAGTGACTGACCAATGCTCTGCAACCTAGCTGGTGCAGTTATGCAGAAATCCCTATCGCCAGTCGTCTTAATCGTGCCAGGTATATGTGGGATGCGGTGTGTTTATTCAACGTAACAAGGCTTTGCAGTTGACCTGTGTCCAGTCATGCAAAATAAAATGTTCGTGAATACCAGTAATGGTAATACTATGTTGGTTTGCAGGAAACTGATGTTGTTTCCTGATTGCCTGTCTCCCAAGCACTTCAGTACTTCTCTCCTTTCTCTTTGCTGCTATCAGTTTCGGCTCTGCACACTTCTTGCAGCTTGGGTTCAGATGAAAAGCGATACACCACACAGCAAGGGAAAAACACTTTTCTGAGCTTTTTTGAGCCTAAAGTGATCAAAACACCATCAGAATTGAAAACCCTTGTATAACTATAAGGTAACATCGTTTCTCTGGAGATTGGTAGAAGCAGATGTGTAGAGCATAGTTTCAAGCTTAAGAAAACATGTCCGCCTTCTGTAGCGTGTGGACAGAGGTAAAAGGCTCTCTTCCCTTGGTAAGGAGCACATTGATTTTTATTTTACTTTTTTTCTTTTCTTTTGTTAAGGTATCACATGGAATGCCTTAATCCACCTCTGAGTGAAGTCCCTGTAGATGAATGGTTCTGTCCAGCCTGTGCCCCCATGGGTGTCAGTGCTGCTGCAGGTAAGTGTTTTGTGGTAACCAAAGTAAATATTTTACTCCCGACTTAGATGATGTGAAGCATGTGCTGTTTTGAAGAGGTGTTTAACCCCTGGTTTTAACTGTTTTAAATAATTGTTTTGATAGGCGTTGTCTCTTGAACCAAAAGAGTTGACTTGAACTCTTGACTGATAAGAGGATCTTGTTTATTAAGATTTTCATCTGCAGTTACAACCTGTGGAGCTGCTTCTTATAGGCATTCTTTAACTTTCCTGAGGCAAGCCCAGCATCTTAGTGCAGCTGCATTGTATTGCATTAGAAAGAATTTATTAGTATCCTGACGTCAGATTGCCAAGATAGCAGGAATTTCTGTTATCTAGAACATTGTCTTTCTGTGTAACAGTCTGAAGCAGTGTTGTCTGTGCTCATTTCCTTTTGAGAGGATAATGTCTGCCTTTGGAGGTGGTTGGTTTAAGAAAGGGAATACTGATTACTTTTTTTTTGTCCAAAATTCTTGAAGTGCTTTCACCTGCAGAAAGACAAGTGACCTGGGCATCTTTTCTTTCAAGATACAGATCATGTCAGTGAAGAAGAGGTTGCTGCCCTCGTGGCTGATGTTATTCCTACCACCAGTAGGCTACGCCCTCATGTCCGAACCCGAGCTATAGCCAGAACTCGGCAGAGCGAACGAGTTAGGGCAACAGTGAACAGAAACCGGATAACAACAGCGCAACAAATTCAGGTATTTAGGAATTTTCTAATGAGCCTCTGGAGGAACCTTGTGGAAGAGTTGAAATAAGTTCCCCCCATTAAGGAGCTCAGCTGTCTGTGTTGACTGTCCATAGCATAATGGTTCGTAGTTGTGGAGTTCTTTTTAAATTGAAATGTAGAACATGTGCAAATTGAGGCAGCACATGACCAAGACTGTCTATTTTGAAATCTGCAATAGCTTCCTCTCTTGATCTGCGTTTTTATCACCTCAGTTGTGAGAAAAATTGTATTTTTATTCCCAGTAGCTGTCAGTGCACAGTTTGTGCACCACTGCTGGTTTTTTTTAGCATGCTTTTTTACAGGGACAGGGCATGTTTATTTGACACTTGTGTATTTTCTTGTTTGTCCTTCTAGCCCCTTTCCCATAGCAGTAGAACCTGTTGGCCACCTTCAGCCAAACTGAAGAGAAAAATTTAGTATTTGTAGGGTTTCTATGTTTGTGAAAATCAGCCTCTTATTGAAGAGAAAAGACCCAGATGCTAGTGTCCACATGATGTGGCAGTGTGAGTTCAACCACATTAACAGGTACCAGAGAATCTATGCAAGAAAGTATCCTAAATACCCAAGGTCCCTCAAATCCTTTACTCATTGAACCGTTTACTGAAGATGACTGCAGTTAAGATGTTTCTGGATGTTCCTGTTGGCTGGAATAATTACGAACCTTTCAGTAATAATTAGTATGCTGGAAACGGAGAGACTTTCAAACCTGGGGATCTCCTGCCTGCTTTGCCTTCTGGCTTTAGCCAAAGCACTCTACCTGTCACCTGCATAAATATAAAAAGCTTTAAATTGCACAGGAGCATACATACAGTGACTTAAGTAGAAGCAGAGCCTGTAAATAACCTCTATGGGACTAGTGATGTATGTTCTTCATTAATGCTGCTGTTGAATTTGGTAGAAATATGTGAAATTCTACAACTTTAGACAGGAAGAGGAGGAACTGACTTGACATAAGGAAAATGGTTTTTCCCCTAGGGATGGTCAGTCAACCATGAGAGTAGGTTGCTTGGATGGTTTTTGAAATCTCTATCTTTGGTGGTTTTCAGCACCTGTCTGAAGAAAGGCCTAACCAACCTGGTTTGAATTCAGTGTTGACTAGTGAACAGAAAGGTCAGACTCTTCTGAGGGACACCCCAAGATGCTGTCCAACCTGAATTACTCCATGATTCTATGAAAATAAACTTGGTTTCATCTGACAATAACATGCCAGTTTGGTTTTGATTTTATTTAGTCAGGTTTTTTCCAAAGATGGGAAAATGTAGAAAAGAGAGAAGGGAAGAGTGGATAGAACTTAAGTATTTTTTCAAGGCAGTCAGTTGGCTGTGGATTTCGGGTTGGGTCTGCTATAAAGGCTGTCCTTGCAGTGTGAAGTGCAGACTGGGAGAAGAATGAGTTGGAGGTAAGGGGTCTTGTAGATTAAGATTCCCCTTGTTGCAGTTGTAAAGGTCAGGTGAGAAAGAAAAAGGAAACGCACTTGAGATTGTGAAGTGCCTCAACTTCATGAGCTACACTTCGATATTCTGTAACTTCAAGCAGAAGAAATAAAGGTAAATAAAGACGGGCTTAAGGAAAGCAAAATAAAATGTCAAAATCTGGGGGAAAAAAGTGAAGGTCGAGGTTTTCCATTGTCTTACCTTCCTGCTGGTTGGGAAGAACAGTCTACTGTTAATTAGCTCCCCAGAGTTTACCTGTTAAATTTCTCATCAAAGTCATTGTAAGTGGGAGGAGAAAAATTTTTATCAAATCCCAAATGATCTGAATTACAGCAGTGAGTACAGTTTGGCATAGGTGCTGTGAACAAAGATCCAGGTCACCTTAAGTTTTTATCATGGGGTTTTTTTTCCATTGATTTAAGGACTTCTCGGAGTGCTTTAGTAGTCCTTAAATTCATTATGTCCTCTATGGTGGAAGTCATTTTATTTGCTTGTCAAAACACCCCTGTCTCCAAACCCAGGCCTTTTAATTTCAACTTTAGAAGAATTAATAAAATAGGAAAACCTGATGAATTATTTGATGCATTGTTGTGAAGCAATTACATCTAAGGTGTCAGGGCTATATGTTGAAAAAAATAACCGTAGAGGAGTGTTGTTTGAGATGGAAGGCTGTGCAAGGTAACTGCTAGTGCTTGTCTGTCTTTCC